TGGAAAAGTGGGGGTCGTCTTGTACATGGGGGCGCCTTATTGTCAGAAAAATACGGTATTTATGTTTCCATATGGCAAGAGTTTTCTTGCCTGTATTAAGAATGATCTAATAGCAATAGTTGAGGTACAGTATACCCCATTGTATACTGTATTTCACTGATAAATAGAGTATTTTGTGGGTTTAATAGAGGTGTGACTATCAAGAAATAGATGAATAACAACTCTTACTTCTCCTCTGCTTGCAGGAGCAAATAAAATTCCTAGAAGAAGAAATTCGAAGTTTGGAGGAATCTGAACTAGCTTTCAGTGCTTACAAAGATTGGTCTGAAGCTATCCTTAGGAAATTCAGAAATGTTGTGACAAAATCTGATGTAGTGGATAGAGCATTAATGGAGAAAAAAATGCATAAACTTGAGGTAAAGCTCATTTGCAATCTGTATTGTCACTGCATATTTAATATAAATAACTATTAATGTTTAAATCATAAATATAGCACCACAGGGATTTAGAAACCCACAGAACAGTGGATTTCAAACTACCTATACAGAAAAACAGTTTTGCATTGGTTCATAGAAATACTAGATTTATAGACCCATTGTAGAGAATGAATTGTAGTTAAGAACGAGCGTTGCTGCTTGTTATTTGACTATTCTGGAACAGTGCTTGGAGAAGGAGAACTGAAATAGCTGGCAGATTGTTCTTCAACTCTGCATTTTATCCTAAGGAATTTTAATAAAATGGCTGAATTACTGAGCTATAGCAAGATTTCTGGGATACCATTTGGAAAATGTTCTGTTTCGGTAACAGAATCTTTTAGAATTTGAAATACTCAGAATAGATGACATGACATTTTCTTGTATACCTTTCCATAATTTTCAGTTCAGTCTTTTTTTTCCTTCTTGAGCAGTATACACAATAAATGTTTATGTCCAATGATTAAATTAGTAAAAAAAAGAATGTGATATGTAAACTGATTAAATGCTATGTAACCTCAAAAGCCTATGTTTTTCCATGATAATATATAGAGGCACATATGGGGGCATCAGTGGAATTATATCAATAATATCTAAGGGGTATGATTGAAAGCTGCAGCAAATAATGGGTACATATTATTTGGAACAAAATTTAGAAATCAAAACAAAAAGAATGATGTCTTGTTAATATATCACTTTTACTCAGAAGCAAACATTAATTAAGAGCTGCCAATTCTGTGGCCAAATACAAGTAGGATAAATTCTAAGCAATAGCAACTTTAAGCCACCAATTATCTTGTATCCATTATTTCCTGATTTTGACAAAAAGTTATAATTTACATCTTCCTGGTTTGATTGCTCGTGCCTCAGACAGAATTTGAAGTGCTCTGTGCATGGTCAAAAATCCTGTTTGAACACATCCTAGTAAGTCAAAATGTGATCAACTGAACCAACATCTAGCAATGGAATATCTCTGAATTTGCACAAATTACTTATTACTTTGCCCCATCAGTATAAAATATTGTGCATTTTCTGTTCACAGGATCTCATGAGCGACATGGAAGTTGGTCACAGTTTGCTCAAATCTGCCCGTGAGAAGGGAGAGAGAGCTATTAAGTATATTGAAGGAAATGAAGCTGAACAGCTAAAGAAACAAGTCAGTGATTATGTAGAACAACTTGATGAGATGACCTGCTCTATCAGAAAAGAATGTACAACTTTAGAGAAATGTCTCCACTTAACAAAAGAATTCTTAGATAAGTACAAAGTACAGACTCAATGGCTAACAGATTATCAGATCATACTACACAATACAGTGGATCCCAAAATGGAATTATATGAGAAAAAGGCACAGTTATCAAAATACAAGGTAAAGATATTGTTTTGGCTTACAAAATGAGAGGATTCTTCAATCAGAAACCTATTTATTAAAATATTTTCAGTAGATATTTTCAGATATCCACTTTGACAGCCTAAATTTCACTGATGCTTGCTTGTTAAATACCATCCTTAAATATAGTATTATCAATATAATCATTATATAAGCAGACCTTGACAAAGTTTCAGTGTTCTCCCTAAGTTACAATCATGCAGCAGTCATGCAACATGATCCAGCAAACACTTTCTAGTGTCCCTGTTTTTGTAATGCTGGTTAGTGAGATTTTTTTTTTTCTGATTAATGTTCAGGTTGTGAAAAAGTATTATGTCAAACCCTTTTCCTAAGAAGTGGAGATTAATCAAGTTTTTCCCTTTTCGCTTTGTTTACCTTTCAAAAGACCTTTGTGTCAAATTCACAGAATAGATTCTTTTTTATAAATAATGGGAAATGACCACATTTCTTATGGATCAAAAATCCCTTTTGTACTAATATGGATAAATGTTGGAAAGGACCAAACTTCAAACAGGGTTATTTGTTTAAGGTGACATAATTTTTTTTCATTTATTATTTATTTATCACGTTTATATAGTTGCCCATCTTATGCAAAGCAACTCTGGGTGGCATACAACAATTAAATAAAACAACAAATAGATAAAAACAATCAATATAAAAAGTTAAAAAGTGATTATTAAAATGAAAACATTATCAAAAAATTAAAAACTTCCTATATTTTGTTGAGTTCTGTCCCTACAAAAAGAAGGTGGTTTTCCATAGTTATTTATTTATTTTACATTATATATTTTAAAACATTTTACATTATATTTATTTGTTTTAAAACATTATTTAACTGCATTTTAATTTTAGACAGTGCAGCAGACTATATTGTCTCACGAACCTTTGATCAAATCTGTTATGGAAAAAGGAGAATGCCTCCTTGAATTGATCTGTGATGCTAATTTAGCTGAGAATATTCAAAAACTTCAGAATGAATACCAGGAGCTCTGCAACATAGCAAAGGTAAATTGTTTTCTACTAAGTAAATTTTTGCTTGCTATATGGATTGTCTACATTAATGTAACTATATTTCATTTAGCCGAAGAGAGTGTTCTGTCTTCTGAGAGTAATTCTTGAACCTCTCAAAATCCTGTCAAAGTAGCAACTTGCTCTTGTGTTAAGAGAAGATGAGTCACCATCCTGTAAAATGCCTTCTTTAAGGTGGCAGTTTATAAATGATTTGCCAATTTAGAGGCAGAACTACTGATAGCTATTTTTAGGAAAGAAACAAAATAAAAAGGATTTTTGTATTGATGAGTTAGAAAACAGGACAGTTGACCTTTTCAGAATGAAGATCTGAGATGATTATCATTTGAAACAACCATTGAAAAGTATCTGGTTTCTGTTAATGCAGATACAGGTTGCAAGCTTGGAAGAGAAAGTGAGACAACATGAAGAATATAATAGTGTCTTACAAGAAGTGGAAAAATGGCTGTTACAGATGTCCAGCAGGCTGATTACTCCTGAACTCATGGAGAACAGTGATCTAGAAGTTATAACACAACAATTGGCCAGTCATAAGGTAGGTCTGTATAATCAATAACTCTTTAGTAGAAAAGATGGTTGTTGTAGTTTGTAGTTCAAGTAAAGAACTCTTAGTCTTCTAATATTCATAGCTTTTCTTTGAAAGGTTTTCTCCCAAGCAGATTAACATTTAAGACAAAATAAAAAGTAGTTTCTATACAAATAGATTTCTCTTATTTTAGAAGCTATTTTGTTTTGTTTAAATCAAAACAGCAAAGTTAAATAAATAAATCAAGTAACAGATGTTGACAATTGGATTTTTGTATTGTCGAAGGCTTTCACGGCTGGCATACGATGGCTGGTGTGGGTCTTCCGGGCTGTGTGGCCGTGTTCTT